CACTGTATGTGCATATGTGTGTGTATGTATTTGTGTGCTGGAGGTAATTTACACTAGAAGATTAGTAAAAGTTTTTGTCACATGTAAGCTGAGACCAGAAGGACGAACAGGTCAGCCAGGCAGTGGGGTGGTGTGGGGTGGGAGGCAGAAAAGGACATTCAGACAAGAAGTAAGGGTAGGGGTGAAAAGGGTTTCAGTGCATTTGAGGAATGGAGATAAGGCCAGTGAGGTGAGAGCCAGTAAGCTAGAAGTGATGAGGATGAAGAAGAGGCAAGGGCCAGACCATGCAGGGTTATATAGGAACGTGTAGGATTCTGAACACCACCCTAAAGGCAATGGGCAGCCACTGAAGATATCCCTAGCCAGGTGTGACATGGTCAGATTTAAATTTTTCAGCCTTTTCTGAACTCCTAATTTACCATCTATACACTTCACATAATTTTATTTTGGAGGGTTATTGTTTTGTTTGCTAATTTTGTCTCTTGTCCAGATGTCAACCACATTCATATTTCCTTTTGTAGATGTGAGAGGCAAATCTAAAAGGGATTCAGCAAATGCTTGAGATTAGTGACTTCTTTTTCTGTTTTATTTTCTTGAACAGAAAACAAGCCATTGTAATATGGAAATATATATCCAAATATTATACGTGCATACCTTTTAATATAGCAATTCTACACCTAAGAATTCATCCTTAAAAAGAAAGAGACATTTGACATTTCCATTTCTCACAGTATGGTGCAAATGTTACTGTGAACCACCCTTCTGAAACAACTAAAACTTCTGGAGAAGATATGAAAAACATCCTTTTAAAAACATCACTGAACTAGCAAGACAATAGAAAATCCTCAGGGTCAAATAAAATGAATGCTGGAAATAAAGTGAATGCTGGAATCCAGAGAGATAAAGCCAGATTTTACCCTAGGGGAATCAGCTAACTGGTGTTTTCGAGTTTCTGTTTGGATAGTGCAATGAGACAGGGGAGAAACCCTCATACCTGAGGTAGAAAGCATAATACAAAATTCCTACATAGAGCTGGGACCCCACACAGCTACCACCTCAGTATGAGGGTAAACTAGAAAGTAACCTCTACCTGTCAGAAGAAGATAGGTAACTTGTTCTATCTAGCTTAGCACTAAGTGGGGGAAAAATCTTTCCGAAATTTCTGAATTCACCATGTTTGTGACATTAGTTACCACTTATTCATATTACCTGTGCAATTTGGAAAAGCTCAAGCCAAGAATTTATTTTAAGGTGGTCCTAGGAAGTCCTAGGTGGCACCTGATGGAAGCAAACACAACTCGTTCCTAAACAATATACCTTTGACTCAGGTCTCAAATAATCCAACAGTTAACTTCCAATAGACACGAGCTCAAAGTCAAAAGTTTAAAAAGTTGTAAGGAAACAAGGCAATGTGAGAAACAGCCAGTAGAAACAACAGAAAGCAGAATCAGACCTGTAGAGATCTTAAGTGACTCTTCAGATGCATATTACAATATACTGTATTTGTGATATTGAAGAGTTTTAAAAGGAGACTGAAAATATAAGTATTAAAGAGGAAACTATAAACACGAATAGTATATTTGAAAAAGAGTCAAAAAGAACTTCTAGAAATAAAACGTAACTAAAACTTAAAACCTATACTATTTATTGCTGCTGTAACAAACTGCCACAAAGTCAGCAGCTTAAAACAAGACAAATTTATTATTTTACAGTTCTGTAGGTGCTAAATATGACACAGGCCTCATTGAACTAAAATCAATACATGAGTAAGGCTGGGTTCCTTTCCATACGAGATAGGAGAGGATCCATTTCCTTGCTTATTTGGGTTGTTGGCAGAATTAACTTCCTTGAGGTTGCAGGACTGAGGTACCCAATTTCTTGCTGGCTGTCAGCTGAAGGTCCTTCTCAGCTACTAGAGGCCACTTGCACGTCCTGGCTTGTGGCCCACTTTCTATATCTCCAAAGCCAGTAATGGCAAGCCAAATCCCTCTCACCCTTGGACTCCACATGTAGATATATCACAGTAAAACCGTAGAATACCAAAAACAAAACGAACATCTTAAAAGCAGCCAGAGAGAAAGAGCAGATTATCTAGAAAGAAATAACAATTACACTGGCAGTCAATTCCTCAACAACAGCAATGAAATCCAGAAGAAAACGGAATAGTGTCTCCCACGTGTTAGGATAAAATAACTATACACCTAAAATTGTGCGCCAAACAAAACTCTCTTTCAAGAACGAAGGCAAGAAAAAATATTTGAATAAACATTTCATCAAAGAAGAAATACGGGTGGTCAATAAGCACATGAAAAGATGTTCAGTTTCATTATTTATTAGGAAAAAGGAAATTAAAAAGACAATGAAATACCACTTCACACTTACAAAGGATGGTTATGATCACAGGATACATAATAACAAATATTGGCAAGGATGTGGAGAAACTTGAACCTTTGTAATTGCTACAGGGGATTGTAAAATCGTGCAGTGACTTTCTTTTGTTTTGTTTTTGAGACAGAGTCTTACTCTGTCACCCAGGCTGGAGTGCAGTGGTGCTCACTGCAACCTCCATCTCCTGGGTTCAAGCAATTCTCGTGCCTCAGCCTCCTGAGTAGCAGAGACCATACGCATGCACTACCACTCCCAGTTAACTTTTTGTACTTTAGTAGAGAGGGGGTTTCACCACTTTGGCAAGGCTGGTCTTGAACTCCTGAGCTCAGGCAATTCGCCCACCTCGGCCTCCCAAAGTGCTGGGATTACAGGCATGAGCTGCCGCTCCCAGCCTGGTGTAGTCACTTTGGAAACCAGCTTGGCAGTTTCTTGAGATGTTAAGAGTAGATTATGACCCAATGACCCAATAACTACATAACATTCCTAGTTATCTACACAAGAGAGATGAAAAGACATGTCCACACAAAGACTTGCACATGAATGTTCATAGCAGTATTCTTAATAGCCCCAAAGTAGAATACAGTGAACTATTCATCAGCTGGTAAATGCGTAAACAAAATGTGGTACTGGAATACTATTTGGCAATAAAAACCAAGGAAGTATTAATATATGCTACAACATGGATGAACTTCAAAAACATTATGTTAAGTTAGAGAATCCAGACGTAAAGGATCACATAATGTATAATTCTACTTATGCAAAATGTCCAGAAAAGGCAAATTCACAGAGACAGAAAGTAGATTAGCAGTTGCCTGAGGTTGGGGATGACAATTGGGCACAAATGGGCCCAACATTTCTTTTTAGAGTGATGGAAATCGTATAACATTATATTGCAGTGGTAAACTCACTAGAAATCATTTATTGTTCACTTAAAATGAGATAATTTAAGATAGGCAGATTACATCTCATAAAAGCTGTTTTTCAAAAAAGGAGGGCAAAATAAGGCATTTTCATACAAGAATAGAAGAGTTTGTCACCCATAAAAGAATGTCCCCTCATGGGGGAAATTCTAAAGGGTATACTTTAGAAAGGAGGAAAGTTATTCTGTTGGAAGGTTTGAAGTATTGAAAAGAATGGGCCAATGCATAGGTAAGTCTAAATAAGCATTATAGTATAAAACAATAATCATATGTCTAACTATGGGATTATAAAAGATAAAATTAAAATACTGAAATGTCAGGAGAGTGGCTATAGCTAAAGTTATTTAAGAGAAAGGAAAGTAAACGTATTCATTTTATTTATTATTTATTCATTTTAAAGAGATGGGTTCTCGCTCTGTTGCCCAGGCTGGACTTACACTCTTGGGCTCAAGCAATTCTCCTACTTTAGCTTCCCAAGGAGCTGGGACTACAGGTACATGCCACCACGCCCAGCATAAATATATGAATTTTAGACCTAAATAAGAACTGACGTTAAAATTTCTAGGGTAACTAGTAAAAGAACAGAAACAGAGTACATAATTTCCAAACTAGCAGAAGAGGAAAGAAATGAAATGGAAAATTCTTATTTAGCAAAAGGCCAAAAAGGAAGAAGAAGAAAAGCAAAACGTAGAAAGAGTGGTGTAAAAAAGCAACATTGTATATTTGTCCTTTACATTTTATATACAGTATACATATTCTTTTGTAGTTATTCAACAT